GTTTTCAAAAAGTCGTTAGAGTAGATATGTGATAGGGAATAGGTAAAAAGAAATATATGTGAAAGAAAAAAAGAAATATATGTGTGGGTCAATTCGTATTCGAACTAAAATATTCAATATTTGGGCAAAAATTAAAAAATCGACAACATCAAGTAAAGAATGCGAATTTAATTCAAATTAAAAGTTCTACGATATAGATTGAATTTGGCTGACGCTTTAACCCGTCTAACTTATTCTAATTAAATTTGAAAAGTTAAAAATAATTATTATTTTAAAGAATGAGCTGTTCTCTTTTTTGACAAGATGTCTTCTTTATTGTCTTCTGATAAATGATTCTCCTCCTAGGTCAACATCGTATTAACCAGATCGAAGAAAACAAATGGTTCAGACAAATCAGACTGAATGAAGCAGGTGGTCGAGTACGACCGTCATTGTAGTTAACCATATTTTTTCTTGGGCTGGTCCCTCTGTCCTATGCCTGACTTGATGATGAGTCAGGATGACTAGTATTTATGGATCAGGAGAAGTAGATTTTTTTTATCACTCTGCTCATTTTGTGGCTGTCAACAAAGCAAAGAGCTTCCAAAGTCAATACCACTCTCATTCCTATCAAATTTCTGTGGGCTTCTCACAAAGCAGGTGAATTTAAAGAAGGGTAAAATTTTGTTAACCCGCTTTATGTTCCAATTTTTTTTTTTTTAATAGACAACGACATTTTTTACATTATAGGGAAGAAAATGAGGGAAACTCGATCTATCAATCTGCCACTCGATTATAAAAGGCTCCAACCATTCAGGCTGGGACTTAGATACTAATTGTGTAATCTTGAGTTGATTTTTTTATTAATTTGTTTCTAATGAATTGCGTTATATTGTGTTCATATCGTGTATGAATTTTTTATAACTAATATATAAACAAACAGTATCGTATATTTCTTTTTATTGAGTTCATTTATATCGATTCATTTATTAGTCGTGTCGGGTCAGATTCACTTATTTATTTAATTAGTGACTTACAAAAAACTCAAATCTTCCGTTAAATACCAATTAAGCACCAAAATGTTTAGTCTAATCTGGTTGTAGAGAAAGAATAGACAAAAAGATTGGCAAATACAGAAAGAACCTTCAGGTAATTAGGACTATAGTGGCATCTAAAATGAAGCAAAGGATGCTGATCCTTCACTACTTGTGACCTTGCTTAATGGCTTGTGAAATCATGTTCAATATTGTCTTTTGTTTCCCTCTTTCCTTCGTTTCTTATCGATGTTTCCTCAAGATATGGGTTGTTGGCTGTAATGGTGATGATTGGTTTATAAAAACATAAATTTTGAGTTTCCACTCTGGTGTCTTAGTCTTAGTCCTAGCATTAGCATGTATAAATAAGAGTCGACAACTTTTAACGCGGCTCCTTAATTTAATACGTAATTGATACGAAATAATGAGTATGAATATGTTCTTAACGGGTTTAGATTACAATGGGGTTGATATATCAAACCAACTTTAAAAATGTGTCATACAATACGAATTTGACTATAAAATAAACCAAACATGGATTGAAAATTTCTTAACACGATACGACTTGAACACAATTTGAACCCAGTATTACATGGACCGACTATCCAACCATCCCATTCATTTCGTAAACTTTTTAATAAATATTTTTTTATAAGAATAGAATTTTCCTTGGACCCTTCACCTGGTCCATTGGCCCTGCCCTAGGGTTTTTGGATGGCTCACCTAGGTCATTGACCAATCAAAGGCCTGGCCCATTACTGAAGCTTAAACGGGCCCTTTGGAAAGAAATTGACAAATGATCTTTAGCCTTATTTTTTTTGTACGGAAACCATAGCCAAAAGCTTGGGAATTACGAAAAATTAAGAGGATGATCTTGACCTTAATATTCCAGCTTTATCGAAGAAAAATTAAGACCCTCAAGCTAATTAGGAATATACTCTTAGTAACATGCAACATGTGGCAAATAATGAAATGGTTAGGATTTTTTGGACCACAAGTTTTAATTATTAATATGTGAGATCCCAAATTCAAAGTTTTCAATAGCCTAATTTCAAGATATAAAGATTTTCTATTATAATAGGTTATTTAAAAGGATCTCCCGTTCTTCCATCAAATATTCTGTTTTTCGCTATATATTATGGTTCAAATATTCAGAGATTCGTTGTTTGCGTACTGACTTTATATAATTTAGAAAACACTAGTTTTCTCAAAGTCTCTTATTCTTATCTCTTATTAAAAAGTGTTATTCGATAATATCTTTCTAATAGACCCTCCCGCTAACTCGAATAAACATTCAAATATCTACCCCATATTCATCCGGGAAGGTACTTGATTACATCAAATCCACCACAAATTCAAAAAATATAATGACAATTCCTAATCACAAAATCAATAGAGGATGAATGTTGATCATAACATACAAAGTTTCTTTGATCCTCTAGTAGGAAATATAATGGTGTGGATTTCTACAATATGATATAATTACTTATTAGAAATTTCTGATAACATACAAAACTATTTATATAATAAACTTTGAAACAATAACATGCAAGAATAAACAGTAACACGTAAAACTGCAATAAATAAAACTAATTCATTTGTAGATTAGGAACGGAGATTGAATTTTATAGATCAATATTAATGTTTGATACTATATTCTTAAGAGCGATTTCACCCCTACACTGGTGTTTATAGAAATCTAAGAGTTTGTTTCACAAGATACAATGATTTTTACGCAAATAAAAATAATAATCCAATTCAATTGCCCAAGGAACTAGAATAATGTTGTGTACACTCAGAAAATACTATCTCTTAATCATGAAAGGATAGGCGATCGACAAAAAAGAGGCAACTGGAGAAAGAAATTGAAACCCTATTCTAATATAATATGTATGTGTGTATATATATATATATATATATATATATATATTATATTTTTTGGCTGAGCCTGAGTTCTATAATCGGGTTGAGCCCGATTTAATAATTTCGAGTTGAGTTTGGGTTCAACCTGTAAACCCTAGCACTACCCGAGGGTTGGGGTTTTCTGGCTCAAGCCCAACCCAAAAAGTGAAAATTGGGGCTGAGTCCTCTTTAAGGAACTTATAATTAGTTTAATCCGTCAAGGAAACTTATTTGGGAGTAAGTTCATTTTTAATCTTACTAATAAGTAGTTAAGTCCACTATTTTTTTAAAATTCTAAAATACCTTCTAATGACTTAAAAGCAATCTTCAACATTAAATCAATTTCCTAAATAGTTATCTTGACTCACGCTGAATGGAAGATTTTTTTTCATAAAATTTGTTGTTCAAATTTATATTTGCCATCACTAATCTCTCTCTCTCTCTTTTCTCTGGAAAACTGCACACCCAGATTACTTTTGAACCAAATACTTCAATGGTCCCAAATATTTTTTAGCCTGTCTTTTCATACTCATCTTCCCCCAACAATCTTTCCTATAATAACTATGTGCAAAGTCTAGTTGTCAATACTACAATCCCCAATACGACAACGATGATGATAAGGTTAAGAAGAAACATAAAAATGAAGAAGGTTATATACATTTTTACAAAAGCATGAGTCAACATATTCTAACTAGCCCACAAGTTTTCCACTCCATTATCCAAAAATCTGATGGAAGGTTCACAAAAATTGATTTCATGTTATTTAGAAGTTCTTTATTTTCTGGATTCATCTTGTAGGGCTTGTTTTAGATCTCAATTAGAAATTATAGATTCATTGTTTTTTGTGAGAAGACTGTGGTTAATTTAATATTGAATATTACAATGCATGTTACTATTTTTTTTTCATGTTATTATTTTTTTTGCTATCCATGTTACTACTTTTTTCTATGTTACTATTTTTTTGATAAGCATGTTATTGTTAATTTTAAATATTACTATTTTTCCGAAATATCAATATTCAATGTTATTTTTTTTTGTTGACCATGTTATTGCTTTTATTTTTTTAAATATTAATATTCAATAGTACTATTTTTTATTTTTGAATGTTACTATTTTTTTTGTGTTTAAGTGGTACTATTTTTGTACTTGAATTTTACTATTTTTTATTTTTAAATAGTTCTATTATATATATGAATATAGATAGATATAAGAGAGCGAATTTTAATGTTAGAAAAACTCCCAAAGTTTAGGAGTTTTTAGTTTCCAAATTTGTATTAAATAAATACAACTAATGAGGATATTTTGGACAATGAAAATCAAATTGGATTGAATATTAAACAGTTTTCTTAATGGACTTATCACCAAATAAGTCCATAAAGGAGAATCGGCATCCAAATTTGCTAATTTTAAAACCTCAATCCAAGCCCTGCTTTGTTTTCTTTTTTTTTGTTTGAATTGGGCTCAGGTTGTCCTGCCCTGCTCAAGTTACACCCCTAATTTTTAAACTTATTTCCTGAATCTAAATACTTTTTTGAAAGTGTTTTTAAAAATGTCAACTCAACTAATATTTTTAAAAACATAGCAAAGGCCGAAAGAATTCTCCCTAAGTCACAAAAAGCAGGAGCGGGAGTGCGAGATCAAAAATTCAAAAAAAAATCTCAAAGTGGGAACGCCTTGAAAACGTTATAGTTTATGAATACATACATAATTACATATATAGAAATTAATAAAAACAATATAATTAAAAAGCTAATTTCTAATTTTTATATATTAAATTATTCAAATCAAAAAGCAATTCTTGTTTTTGGTATTCAGCAACTGAAATTTTAAAATAGAAGTAATGACAACAAATAATTAAACAAAATATTAATATAAAATCTCATCTGCTAGTCTCACCTCTGTACACGTAAGAGTCTCAAGATCTCTCTTTAATTCAAAGGCTAGATAACACTAGTGTGTCTATATATATATATATTCAAGTACTTTTAGATATTTAGTCAACGTGGAATTGAATTCCCACACATAAAAAAGTACTCTTTTATTTAAAATATTCTACCACTTTGTCAAAGAAATTTCCTCCACGTGATGAGTGTAAGTCAATCTGCCCTATTCTCCAAATATGAACACTAGAAAGAAATAATGCACAACCACTTTATTGACAGAGCTTGTTATGTATGCCCTGAAGCCAAGGCAATAATTTGCTATACAAACACAACAATTACATAACTTTCTTTCTCATTGTTGGCATCATGGTGTTTCCTTACATAGATATTGTCTCCAAGGCCTTAGTGGTAGTAATTACCAGCCTCTGGTTGCTCAGTCTAAGCACTGAAGCTGCTGCTCCTAATTATCTCTATAATTTTTGTGGCAATGACACAACCATTTACTCTCCTAATAGCACCTTCAAATCCAATCTCAATCTCCTCCTCTCTAATCTTTCTTCTAACAATACACCCAACAACTTGTTTTATAATGCAACTGCTGGCCGTGGTCCTCCAGGTGCGGCTTATGGCCTTTTTCTCTGTCGAGGCGATGTTACCATTAATGCCTGCCATGATTGTGTGGTGACTGCCAGTCAAGAGATAGTCAAGAGCTGTCCCAATGAGACAGTGGCCTATATTTGGTATGATGAGTGCATGCTACGTTATGATAACAAGTCTTTTTTCGGGATCGTGGATGAATCACCTAAGGTGTCTATGTTGAATACGGAGAATATCGCAGAAAAAGATCAGTTTGCAAAGGTGCTGGGAGATACTCTAGATGAATTAGTAAATCGGGCTTCGAGCAATCGATCTTTAAATGATCAATATGTCAAGAGGTTTGCAACGGGAGATGTTAACTTCACAAGTCGTCAGAGACTATACAGCCTGGTGCAGTGCACACCAGATTTATCCGGGGCTGATTGTAAGCGGTGTCTTCAGGTGGCTATTGATAATCTGCGAATATGCTGCAACGGAAAGCAAGGTGGGAGAGTTTTGCAACCAAGTTGTAATATTAGATACGAGATATACCCATTCTATGGACTCAAAGCCACAGCTCCATTACCTTCACCGACGCTTCCTCCAAGTTCCTTGACAAGTCCTCGAGGTAAAACATCAAAGCACAAGCCTAAATGGGTGAATTATCGAGTACAGGCTATAGAATTCTTCTTTTGTGGTATATATAGTAGATTGCATATCATGTTATTTTATTCACTAAAAGGTTGGGATAAAGCTTTAATTTGTTTATTTTTGTTTGGGTCTTAATAGTCAGACTGTCAGAGGCATGGGCCAACTAAATGGTATTCTCATAGCACTTGGGAGTTATGAATTTTCGGTTTATGGCGAAGTTTGGGATCCATGGTCGGGGAGAAAATCACCCCAATTCATGGATCTCTCAGTTTGAGAAATCATGACAAGATAAAATTTTGTTGAGTTGAGTCGAGTGAAATGAAAGTAGCTCTATGGTTTTTGACCTGCAGCTATTAAGCTTATTTGACAATTTATTATTGATGGTTATTACCAAATTGTTATTGTGTATGTTAGTGTAACCTATTTTTGATTTCGCAGGTAAAGGGAAACTCTCATCAGAAACAATTATTGCCTTTGTAGTCGTAGTCCCAGTAGGTCTGTTTGTGGTTGTTTTGGCCATAGGTTTCTGCCTCCTAAGTAGGAAACCAAGGAGAAAGTACAATGTTGTAGAAGAAGAAAATGGTAAGGATAAAAGACATCATTTTATCATCAAATTGTATTGCTTCATGCTATTACCATTGTTGTAGTGTCATTCACAAACTTGAACAATTTTATTGTCTGGTTGTGTAGTTGGGGATGAAATTGCAATATTGCAGTCCTTACAATTTGATCTAGGCACAATTGAAGTTGCCACAAACAACTTCTCTTCTGATAACAAGATTGGTGAAGGCGGGTTTGGTCCGGTCTACAAGGTAAGTAGTCAGAAGCATCTAACTATGGTAGAAATTTGAGTAATTCAAGGATTTCAGAAGCTCTAGAAGTTGGGATACATAAATGCATGAACATAGTTTACTTAGTTAACTCAACTCACAAAGCCTTCATCCAACTATTTGGGTTTGGGGTCGACTATATGAATCATGTTTCTCTATTGGTTTTTTTGAATATTTTCATTAGTTGTAACTCCCATGTGCATATTGCAGGGTATCCTTGCTGATGGACAAGAAATAGCAGTGAAGAGACTATCCAAAAGCTCTGGTCAAGGCACCGCAGAATTTAAGAACGAGGTTGTTTTGGTGGCCAAACTTCAACACAGAAATCTTGTAAGGCTTTTGGGGTTCTGCCATGAAGGAGGGGAAACGATGCTAATATATGAATATGTTCCCAACCATAGCCTTGACTACTTTCTGTTTGGTTAGGTCCTCTCTAAACACACCCTTTGAATTCAACTCCTTGATTGATGCTTTCTCTGATCTTCACGAGATGAACTTAAAATTTGTGATATCTTCAACACCCAAATCCTGTGAAAAGTATGCCATAAAAGTCTTAAGAACACTGTGAATATTGCATTAAGATCATATGCTGAAGAGCTAAAAGTATTGCAAGACTAGCAATAAATATTATACAATATTAAAAATCGAACTGATCTTGTAATATTTGTATTTTAAATAATAATTTGACTTTTTCAATTACGCAATTTAAAATTAAAATAAAAAGAGATATAGATGTGGATTAATAGATTTGTTTGACTTTGGGGAGTGTATTGAGTGAGTAGTTTTGCATTGGAGGTCGTGCAGTGAAGTTGATGAGTTGATTTTTTAGGGGAAAATTTTTTTAAGATGAATTTTGTACCATTAAGTCAAAGTAGATGAATGTTGGATAAATCTAGACTATTGTTGTGTTTTTACAAGTTGATAATTTAACTTCGTAGCTGTAATATTAGATAGATATAGTGCTTTTTAAGAAACTGCACCATCTATTTTGCTTAAATTATTTCATTGCCTGTTTGAATCTAGCTCATTGTTTTTAATTTTATGAAAATAGATGGGGAAAAGCAAGGACAGTTGGATTGGTCACAACGTTACAATATTATAGGAGGGATCGCCCGGGGAATTCTTTATTTACATGAAGATTCTCGACTTAGAATTATACATCGCGACCTTAAAGCTAGCAATGTACTATTAGATGGGGATATGAATGCAAAGATTTCAGATTTTGGCATGGCGAAAACATTTGGTGTGGATCAATCTCAAGGAAATACTAGTAGAATCGTTGGAACATAGTAAGTTTTTCAACATTTTGCCTTCTTCTTTAGAATTTATCTATATCAACAATTAGCTATCATTTCATCCGAATTTGCCAAATGCTAAAAGAAAAAAAATAGAAAACAAAAGGGTCATTGGATTCTTCAAAATTGCAACTTAAAGCTTCTATGGATACTCATATTTTATTTATTTTTTATTCAACGGTAAAGGGTGTCCAGGCCCAGATATGTGTACTTCGACTAGTTCTCTCTCTAGTCTGATCAAAGGTAAGTCATCTACGTTATAACTAGAGTATTCATGAAAGATAATTTCCTTATGATTGACCCTAAGGAGTTGTCAAGTTTCAAACTTAGGATGTTTGGATTTACAGTTCGTCTCTGTTACCGTATAAACATGTACATTTTAGGTGACTTCTGGTCTTTGAACCTTCACTATTTCGGTGCACTTTTTTGTGGGACTATCTCTTATTTATTGGGTCTCCTTCATCTTTTTTGGTAGCCTTAGAAATAACATGTTACATAATTAATTTTTTTTTGAGTAGATTTTTTTTTTATTTTTTGTTATAAAATTAGCAATATAATATATAAATAAATATGTGGTTCTTGCTTGTAGTGGTTACATGTCTCCAGAATATGCAATGCATGGACAATTTTCTGTGAAGTCCGACATTTTTAGTTTCGGTGTATTGATACTCGAGATTATAAGTGGCAAGAAAAACAATACTTTCTATCGATCAGACAGAGCCGAGGACCTTCTGAGCTATGTGAGTGTAAACCAAATATCCAAAAAACGCGTTATTTTTAAGCCAAAATCAATGACGAATTACTGTGAAATCCTTAACATCAATGAAAATATGTTTGTAGGCTTGGCAACATTGGAGGGGTGGGACACCCTTGGAGTTGGTGGATCAAATTCTGGCAGAGTCTTACTCAAGAAATGAAGTCATTAGATGCATACATATTGGTTTACTGTGTGTACAAGAAGAAGTAGATGACAGACCCACCATGGCCTCTATAGTGCTTATGCTCAGCAGCTACTCTGCTACCCTACCGATGCCTCGAGCACCTCCATTCTTCTTCCGTAGCAGAACTGAAACAAGTACATCAACAAAGGGGTTGGAGTCTGGTCCGTTCACAACCAAGTCAATGCAATTGTCTGTGAATGAAGTTTCCATTACTGAGCTATACCCTCGATAAAAAGGATAGTCAAGCACATGACACTAAACTCCCACTAGTTTTGGATTGTTAGATAAGAGATACCCTAAGATAGTATGAGAAAACAATGAATATTTTTATCCTAGTATGTAATTTGAGTTCAACAAGTTTTAGCATCTTTATATACTCTATTAATGGAAGTTGTGGAATTGAGCTATCTACAGTGAGGTTATGGATTTGAATTGTAAGTAATAATTTTGTACAAACAATGACAAAGTTTATGTTTTTATCTGATCTACTCCTCCCAATACTCTCCGGTCAAGGGGTATGTTAGTTTTTGACCCTCTTTTATTCACAAAGTTGTATGAAAAACTAAAATAAAGTTAACTCTATCTATTTAGCCACGTGAATTATATTATTTGTGTTAATTTAGTCCTTGAATTATGATTTTGTGTCTGACTTAATGTAACCCTTATGTTCAAATTTGTCGTTAACTTTGACTGAAATCCTCAAGTGCACATCACACGATTCTTGAATTATAACCTAATATTTGACTCATGTGATGTGAATGTGAGAGTTTACGTCAAAATTAACAGTGAACTTTGACAGAAAAGACCACATTGACTCAAATTGAATAATTTAGAGGCTAAATTAACACAAAACGTAATTTAGGGATTTGATCGATACAAATGAGGTAGTTTCGGTGCCAAATGAAATTGCGAATTTAATGTCATTGGCAATTACAAAAGATATTCCTTCTAGTCATTTGACAATTCAACTCGTTATCTCAGTCCATTCATGATATAATTCAAATCCAGACGCCTGCTAGTGACTTTATGAACATTAGAGTAGATTGTTTTCAAAAAGACGTTTGAGTGGATATGTGATAGGGAATAGGCAAAAAGAGGTTTGAGTGGATATGTTATAGGGAATAGGTAAAAAGAAATATATGTGAAAGAAAAAAAAAGAAATATATGTGTGGGTTAATTTGTATTCGAACTAAAATATTCAATATTTGGGCAAAAATTAAAAAATCGACAACATTAGGTTAAAGAATGTGAATTTAATTCGAATTAAAAGTTTTATAATATAGATTGAATTTGATTGATTCTTTAATCCGTCCAATCTATTCTAATTAAATACGAAAAGTAAAAAATAATTATTATTTTAAATAATGAGCTGTTCTCTTTTTTGACAAGATGTCTTTTTTATTTTCTTCTGATAAATGATTCTCCTGCTAGGTCAACATCGTATTAATCAGATCAAAGAAAAAAAATGGTCGCTTGACTTGATGATGAGTCAGGATGACTAGTATTTATGATCAGGACAAGTACATTTTTCTTATCAGGCTGCTCATTTTGTGGCTGTCAACAAAGCAAAGAGCTTCCAAAGTCAATACCACTCCCACTCCTATCAAATTTCTGTGGGCTTCTCACAAAGTAGGTGGATTTGAAGAAGGGGAAAATTTTGTTAACCAGCTTTGTGTTCCATTTTTTTTTAATAGACAACGACATTATTTACATTATAGGGGGAGAAAAGGAGTGAAAAAAGAAGGGAAACTCGATCTATCAATCTGCCACTCTATTATAAAAGGCTCCAACCATTCGCGTCGGGCGCCGCGGGGCGGAGGGGGGGACTTAGGTCCTAATTGTGAAATCTTGTTGAGTTGATATTTTTGGAGGAGATAGTGAGGAGATAGTGAGATTTGTAATTATTTCAATCCACAATGACTTAATATAATTTAGAAAAAAAGAAAAAATTGTATGCGTAGAGTTACTCCACTCTAAATAACTTTGGACAAAATTGATAAACAAGACATGAAATCAAAATTAAAAATAGTGGATTTATATTTCAGTGATGAAATCGAAATTTTAATTCT